TTCTAAGCACCATGAAAGTACATTATTTGATTGAGTTTGTATTAAACTAAATGTATACCCTAATGCCCAAAAGATCATGCACAAAATACTATTTTGTGTGTAATGTCCAAAAGATCGTAAGTCATACATTTCCCAAGAATGTATTATATGTTCAAACTTGCTGTAGAAGAAGCTTCAGAAAGACTGTGAAATGAATATTGCTTATCATACAGTTCCACCTGAGATCAAAATATCTGATAATGGTTATGTTGAGTCTAAATAATCTACTAGGTTTTAAATATGCAAAAGTCATAGCTACAGCCATGACTAATGAAAAGTTTTGATGGAGAAGGTAGCCACTTGTGAGTCTCTCAAATTATAGAACAACAATCACAATCAAGCAACAGTGATCAAAGCATTGTTATTATGGATAAAACACCTCCCATTACAAATTTTTACTTTTAGCCATTACAGGTTGCAGGAATGAAATGGGGCTTTAGACAGCATCATATGATTGCCAAGAAAATTCAGCTTTGTCATAAATCAAAATATTTGAGTCCTCTAGCTCTACTACAATTTCTGACTCTTCTATCTTTGACAGTATCACCATCACCCCAAGGCAGCAGACTTGGAGTTACACTTAACTCTAATCTTTCCTTCATCCCCCACTTCCAATCGGTTCATCTTGCAGCAGTCACCTATGAGTGCTGACACCACTACATAACTCCTTTTATTTCTCACCTCGACTACAGCAAACATCTATTAACTAGCCTTCCTATCTCCCCTTTTCAGAACAAATGCCAGTCTAAGCCACATTACCCATCGCTCTGAATCTGCTGCATGTCTCTTCACTGCCTCCTCATTACCAGCTGAATTAAATTCAAGATTCTCACTCTGACATGCAAAACCCTTACTAATGCTGCTCCCCTCTACATGTCCTCACTAATCAACAAATATACTCCAGCCTGCCCTCTAAGATCTACCAGCAATCTTCTCCTAGCAGCTTCTTTTATCATGTCTTCCCATGCTAGACTGCAGGACTTCTCCTGTGGGGCACCAAACCTCTGGAACATGCTTCCCCATGTTGTCAGACTTTCCCCTTGTCTCTCTTTCAACTACAACTCCATCCCCTGCTGCAAACATCCAATCAGAGCCTAGGAGGCTGGCCTCTCTACTAAGAGCTGTTTTTGTCCCAACTATTTGCAGCCCTATTGAACTCCGTTAGAAATCAATAGGGGACTGCCAGGTATCCAATGACCGTGAAGTAGGCAACTTCTCAAAGAGTCTATTCAGATTTTTGGGACATTGCCCAACAATCTGATATGACCTTTATTTTTGTTTTTTGTACATTTAATATAGAATTATATAGTTTGTTTTTGTGGTTTTTAAATTTTTTTTTTTTTTTTATTGCAATAAAAACAGGTGGGGCGCTGCCCCTCTGGACAAGCCTCCACTGGACAAAGGGGATCCTAATAATTTGGAAGGTGAGAGACTAATGCTCACTTTTGTTTAGTAAGCGAATTCCTTATTTATTATTTTCGTTATTGCCATTTATATAGCTCCAACAGATTCCGTAGTGCTTTACAATATTATGAGAGGGAGGATTTAACTATAAATAGGACACAGACAAGAAAACTTAACGGAACAATAGGTTGAAGAGGACCCTGCTAAAATGAGCTTAGTCTATAGGAGGTGGGGTAAACACATAAGAACAGGAAATCTCAATCAAATAAGGTGGAAGTGAAGCAGAACTGGAGGAGAGAGTAGAGTGCTGCCCTTTAGGAGAGAGCAAGAGACCGGTATGTGAGGTAGAGGTTACTCTGGAACGCCATAGCTTTCCTAAAGAGATGGGGTTTTAACGCACTTCCTAAAAGATTGAAGACTTGGGGAGAGTCTGGGGGTAGGTAGGCTATTCCATAGGAAGGGAGCCGCCTGCGAGAAGTCCTGCAAGCGCAAGTTAGCCATACGGGTGCGAGCAGCGGACAGGAGAAGGTCACGGGCAGAGCGGAGGGACCGAGAAGGGGCATACCTATGGATCGGTGAAGAGATATTGTTCAGTGCTTTATATGTATGGGTTAGCACTTTGAATTGACTCCTATAGGATACAGGATCCCAATGTAAGGACTGACAGGGGTGAGAGGACCGACTCAGTCTGGTGGCAGCATTCATTACAGACTGTAGCGGGGCAATACGGCTTTTGGGAACACCAATCCGGAGAGGGTTGGTGGTACTGGAATCCAAAAGAGGCAATACATTTGTCTAGAGAGGCTGTATAAATAAAAAATAGAAGGGGACCAAGGACAGAGCCTTGGGGGACTCCAACCGAGACAGGACGAGGTATCATTAGAAGAGGAGACACTGAATGAGCGTTGGGAGAGATAAGAGGAAAACCACAAGAGGACAGAGTTTGCAAGAAGTAGAGCATGATCAACGGTGTCAAAGGCAGCAGAGAGATCAAGAAGAATTAGTATGGACTAGTGGCCTTTGGATTTAGCTGCGATTAGGTCATTAGTAACTTTGATAAGAGCAGTCTCAGTAGAGAGGAGAAGGCAAAAGCCAGACTGAAGAGGGTCAAGGAGAGAGTTGTAATTGAGGTAGTGAGACATACAGGTTTAAACAAGTCTTTCCAGAAGCTTTGAGGAAAAAGGGAGCAGGGATATGGGGTGATAGTTAAAGGTGGTGGACGGGTCAAGAGATGTGTTTTTAGGATAGTTACTACAGTGGTATGTTTAAGGTCAACATGGACAACGCCAGAAGAGAGAGAGCAGTTGAAGATGTGTGTTAAGGGAGGCACAAGACAAGGGGAGAGAGATCTGATGAGGTGAGATGGAACAGGATAGAGCGGGCAAGAGGAAAGGAGAAGCACAGCCACCACTTGTTCAGTAGCTGGGGAGAAAGTCTGAAGGGTAGGAAAGGCATGATCTACCTGTGGTTGAGAAAGTGAACGGCAGGGTGGGGAGAATTCTTTTCTTAGCTGTTCAATCTTGTTGGTAAAGTAGCATGCAACGCTATTGGCTGTAAGGTTAGTTTGGGGGGTGGCCACAGCAGGATGAAAACGAGAGTTAAAGGTGTCAAAGAGATGCCTGGGATTGCGGGAGCATAAACTAATGAGAGAGGAAAAGTATGGCTGTTTGGCGAGGGCAAGGGCTGCGCTGTATAAACAGTATATGAATCTATAATGGAGAAAGTCTGCCTGGGTGCGAGACTTCCTTTAGGAAGGTTCAGCACTATGGTTGGGGGCGTGCCATCCTCGAGGTGCATGTTTGGAGGGGGGCTGCAGCGTTTAAGGCTAAGGTGAGGGTAGTGTTATATGTAGAGATGGCCAGTGAGGGACAGGAGAGGGAAGGGATGGATAGCAGTTGTGAATCAATATCAGCTGACAGCTGCTGGTTCCAGAAGAGAGAGAGCAGTTGAAGATGTGTGTTAAGGGAGGCACAAGACAAGGGGAGAGAGATCTGATGAGGTGAGATGGAACAGGATAGAGCGGGCAAGAGGAAAGGAGAAGCACAGCCACCACTTGTTCAGTAGCTGGGGAGAAAGTCTGAAGGGTAGGAAAGGCATGATCTACCTGTGGTTGAGAAAGTGAACGGCAGGGTGGGGAGAATTCTTTTCTTAGCTGTTCAATCTTGTTGGTAAAGGGGGATGGATAGCAGTTGTGAATCAATATCAGCTGACAGCTGCTGGGGGGATGGATAGCAGTTGTGAATCAATATCAGCTGACAGCTGCTGGTTCCAGAAGAGAGAGAGCAGTTGAAGATGTGTGTTAAGGGAGGCACAAGACAAGGGGAGAGAGATCTGATGAGGTGAGATGGAACAGGATAGAGCGGGCAAGAGGAAAGGAGAAGCACAGCCACCACTTGTTCAGTAGCTGGGGAGAAAGTCTGAAGGGTAGGAAAGGCATGATCTACCTGTGGTTGAGAAAGTGAACGGCAGGGTGGGGAGAATTCTTTTCTTAGCTGTTCAATCTTGTTGGTAAAGTAGCATGCAACGCTATTGGCTGTAAGGTTAGTTTGGGGGGTGGCCACAGCAGGATGAAAACGAGAGTTAAAGGTGTCAAAGAGATGCCTGGGATTGCGGGAGCATAAACTAATGAGAGAGGAAAAGTATGGCTGTTTGGCGAGGGCAAGGGCTGCGCTGTATAAACAGTATATGAATCTATAATGGAGAAAGTCTGCCTGGGTGCGAGACTTCCTTTAGGAAGGTTCAGCACAACGGGAGCAACTTTGCAGATAGCGTGTTGATTTAGTATGCCATGGTTGGGGGCGTGCCATCCTCGAGGTGCATGTTTGGAGGGGGGCTGCAGCGTTTAAGGCTAAGGTGAGGGTAGTGTTATATGTAGAGATGGCCAGTGAGGGACAGGAGAGGGAAGGGATGGATAGCAGTTGTGAATCAATATCAGCTGACAGCTGCTGGTTCCTCCTGAGTTGAGGGGAGTTAGGCTGAGGTTTTTGGTTGAGGGGGTACTCGAGAGCAAACTATAAGAGGTGGTTATCAGAGAGAGGAAATGGAGTGTTGCAGATATTAGATACTGTACATGCATAAGAGAAAATAAGGTATTGCCAGCTACACGGGTGGGAGAATTAGCCCATTGCAATAGTCCGAGGGACATTTGAAGCAGGAAGGTAACCATTTGTCATTGAAACTAAAGCATTTTGTACATCTTTCTCCTGTTTAGCCCCTTCAGGACCGTCATAGCGAAAAACGGGCTGCGGGGTGCGATCAAAGATCGCTCCCGCCGGTATAACGCTGTAACTATCTGCCAGACATCCCAGTTGGATAGTAACAGCCAATTGTGGCGTGTGAGCGATCCGTGATCGCTCACAATTGGCTGCTGTCAAAGTGGGTGTTACAAACACTCACTTTGACAGTGATCTCTGCCCCTCTCTCCTATGTAGCGTTTTGTGAGGCGAGAGAGACAGAGAAAGTATCAGTGTTTTATTAAGAAAATCACCTTTTAACCCCCTTCCCTGCCAGATCTGTTACAACAGAGCATTTGTACTGTCTGTCTGTATTTTTTTTTTTTTTTTTGTCCTTAAAGGGTTAAATTTGTTTAAAAAATCTGTGTCTTGGTCAGATTTTGACACAGGTCAGTTTTCTGACACGTCTAGTCAAGACGACATGTCATCTGTGTGTGAGCCAGCTGAAGAAAGAAACTGTGCTTCCTCTGCAACTCCAAATGTGGAGGAGGACTGGGTACCTCCACAGTTAGCCGAGCCCAACATCCCCCCTTTTAGTGCCAACGCAGGCATTAATGTTAATGTGGATGGCTTCCCCCCAATGCAGTATGTAGCACTATTTTTAGGGGATACCATCTGGGAAGAGATTGCTTCCCAGACTAACTTGTATGCTACCCAATTTATTGATAACAATCCAGGTAGCTATACAGTTAGGGAGCATGACTGGCATCCCACAGATGTCCCAGAGCTTAAAAAAATTCTGGGCTCTTACAATACTCATGGGGATTATAAAGAAGCCATTTATTCGCTCATACTGGAGCACCAACCCAGTAATGTCTAGTCCAGTATTCTCCCAAACCCTACCTAGAGCCAGATACGAGTTACTGCTGAGATTTTTACATTTCATTGACAATACCCTCTGTCACCCTAGAGATCACCCCAATATGATAGGCTTCATAAAATACGCCCACTGCTAGACCATTTTCAGGACAAATTTATGGATGTTCATCCCCCCCCCCAACAAAACTTATCCATAGATGAATCGCTAATGAAATACAAAGATTAGGGTTCAGACAATACATCCCCTCAAAGCGCTCTAGGTATGGCATAACACTGTACAAACTGTGCGAGAGCGAAAGTGGATACAAGTTTGCCTTTCGTGTATATGAGGGGAAATATGGTCAACTGGACCTTCCTGGCTGTCCTGACTCCCTGGTGACAAGTGGGAAACTTGTATGGGACCTACTAAACCCCTTGTTTAATAAAGGTTGCCACCTTTTATGTGGATAATTTTTATAGTAGTGTCCGTATGTTTAAAACACTTTATGGTTTACAGGCACTGGCCTGTGGCACTGCCAGAAAAAATTCCAAAGACTTTCCACGATCTCTCATAGAGGCAAAATTAAAAAAGGTAAATGTAAAGCACTTCGCAAAGCTGAAGTGCTTGCACTAAAATTTAGGGACAGGAAGGATGTCAACATGCTAACCACCATCCATGACGAACGCATGTCAGATGTCTCTGTCCGGGCCAAAGTAGAGTCCAAACCGGTTTGCACCAGGGCGTATAATAAGTACATGGGGGGTGTTGATTTGGCTGATCAGCTGATGCAGCCATATCTTATTTTACAAAAAACCAAAGGAAGGTATAAAAAGGTGGCTATCTATCTGATGCAAATAGCAACCCACAACTAATTTTTGCTTTTTAAAAAAAATAATCCAGGGAAAACCTTCTTTCTCCAATTTCAGTTGAAAACAATTTCTTTAACAATTTATGAAGATGGACAAGTTCAAACACCGGTGCAAGCTGAGTCCAGACATTTTATTTTTACGTTACCGCCAACTGCTAGAAACCCACCCTCCCCCCCCAGAAACGTTGCCGGGTCTGTTTTAAAAACGGGATAAGGACAGACACCCCTTTTCACTGTCCTGATTGCCCTTTGTAACTAAGACTGTGTGTAGGAACGTGTTTCAAGCTGTACCACACAGAACAGTTGTAAGACGTGTTCCTGAACTTTTATTTTACTTTTTTGTTTCTTTGGAAAGCAGCCATTTTTTTGTTAGTCCGTTTCCTTCGCCCAAATCTCCAGTTAGATTCTGTTTGCAGGAGTCAATTTAAAGATTGCTGCTAAATGTACATTTGCTACCTGCACATTTGGTCTAACAAGTTTTCTGGCAGTAACACATAACCAGCTGGCCAAAACCAGATGACGTGAGCATAAAAACCAGAATTACAAAATTACCACTACACTTTCAGTTTTTTGGGGGGGGCAAAATGGTTGGGGGAAAGAAGTCACCCCATCTTCTATAACCTTTGATGTCTACTTTATAAAAATATATACTATATATACTTTCATGATGGTAACATTAACTGGGGGGTGCAAAAATATGTCAAACTGAAGATAGACCAAGCATACCTATATATCAAGTTGAAATAATGACATGTACAAGTTCTGATTGTTGCCTTTTGGCCCCCAAACAATCCAGCATCCCTATACATGGCGTGTATCACTGTACTCGGGAGATGTTGCTGAACATATTGGGGTGTTGTTTGGCTGTTTGGCAATGACACATAACAGTATCTGTTAATTCATGCCTAAAGTACAATGTGTGTGACAAAGAAACAAAAATAGATTACTACCCAAAAGTTTGACAAAGGCTGGTGGTAGAATTCAGTGCATTAAAAGTGTTAAAATACCACCATTTAAAATACCCTGGATTGTCTACTTTTCAAAAATATATGGTTTGATGGGGGTAAAATACATTGGCTCAAATGGGACATGGGCGCAGGTTGATTACATGTCAAAATTCCAAGTTGAGAAACTGATTAGGGCACTTGCCAAACGTCGCCTTTTAGCCCCCAAAGAACCCGACAGGCCTATGAATGGGTGGTATCACTGTACTCAGGAGATCTTGCTGAACACATATTGGGGTGTTGTTTGGCAGTGACACATAACAGGATCTGTTAATTCATGCCTAAAGTACAATGTGTGTGAAAAAAACAGAAGAAAATTTACTAACTCAATGTTTTACAAAGCCTGTTGGTAAAATTAGTGCATGGAAAGTGTTAAAACACCACCATGTGAAATACCCTAGGGGGTCTACTTTTCAAAAATATATGGTTTGATGGGGGTAAAATACATTGGCCGGCTTCAAAAATGTCCCAAATAGGACATGCATGCAGGTTGACTACATGTTAAAATTTCAAACTGGGAAACTGATATGCGCATCTGCCAAATGTGGCCTTTTAGCCCCCTGACACACCTATACATGGGGGTATCCCTGTACTCGGGAGATGTTGGGGTGTTGTTTGGCAATTTAAAAATAAACTACCTATGCAAAATTTGGCAAAGGTTTGTGGTAAAATGGCTGCATAGAAAGTATCAAAATATTCTTAGATGAATACCCTAGATTACCCTATCTAGTTTAAGAAAAATATATACATGTGGGGTGTTTTTTTTTTTGGAGATTTATGACTTAACAGTGTTACAATGTCACTATTGATACATTTGAAAAATGTACATTTTGAAACAGCAATTTCCTGCTTGTACTTATAGCCCTATAACTTGCAAATAAAAGCAAAAAAATACGTAAACATTGGGTGTTTTTAAACTCAGGACAAAATTTTGAATCTATTTAGCAGTTTGTTTCATTCAATTTTGTAGATCAGTAAAAGATGTTTTAAGTAAAAGTCAAAAAAGTGTTTTTTTATTTTTCACCATATTTTATTATTATTTTTAAATTACATTATATGACATGATAAAAATAACAGTATGCAAAGAAAGCCCTTTTTGTCCTGAAAAAAACAATATATAATTTGTATCGGAACAGTAAAGGAGAGAGCGGAAAATTACAGCTAAACACAAACACCACAAAAGTGCTAAAATAGCTCTAATCCTTAACGTACAAACATCGCAAAAACAGTCCGGTCCTGAAGGGGTTAAAGGAACATTAATTTATGAACACTAATAGATCAGGGTGGTATGGTAAGCAATGCTTTCCTCGATTTCAGTAAGGCTTTTGACACTGTTCCACATAGAAGGCTCTTCACATGTATAGCTAGGAGGAAAGATGAGACAGGGGGTTTATGATAGAAACATTTAAATACATAAAGGGAATTAACACCGCAAAGGAGGAGACTGTATTTAAAAGAAGAAAAACTACCACAACAAGAGGACATAGTCTTTATTAGAGGGGCAAAGGTTTAAAAATAATTTCAGGAAGTATTACTTTACAGAGAGGTTAGTGGACGCATGGAATAGCCTTCCAGCTAAAGTGGTAGAGGTTAACACAGTGAAGACGTTTAAGCATGCGTGGGATAGGCATAAGGCTATCCTAGACTTAAGATCATGCCAGGGACTAATTAAAGTATTTTGAAATTTTGGGTGGACTAGATGGGCTGAATGGTTCTAATCTGCCATCACAGTCTATGTTTCTGATCTGTTTTGGAGTTTTTTTTCACATGGAGAAGCTGAACTTTTCCCATTGATTCAATACATCTCTGAGGAGATGCTGATCGGATCTCCCCCTGCCTCCTTTCTATTGGAATGCATTGTGCTTACCTGAGATCATAATGACCACCAACGAGGCAGATCGGGGGCAGAGCCAGCGCCAGCAGATGCGTTGTAAGGGGGCTAAGCGGGGGCCAGTGACCTAAATAGTGTTTTTAACACTATAGGGTCAGGAATATACTTTTGTGTTCCTGATCCTGTAGTGTTCCTTTAACTTTAAGTGGAGCAGCTGTTTTGTGGAAACTGATCTGGTGATGAAATAAGAGAGTTTTAATAAATATATATATATATATATATATATATATATATATATATATATATATATATATATATATATATATATATATTTTTTTTATTAAAAAGGATGGTAAGGGAGCAGTAATAATTTTAGTTACGTTACTAACCCATAATAAAAAAAAAAAAATATTTTCAAACACTGTTTAATAGATTTGGTTTATTGATGTGAAAAGTTTGATGTCACCGCTGTATGTTGTCCTTTCAAGTAGCACTAAATGATAAACTGATGTTTTCTAGAGGCCCCACTGAATTCATTATTTTTCAAATATTGATGTGTACACCATTAACATAAGAGATTTGCCACCAGTGTATCTGACCACAACTTTATCATCCAGTAAGGTAACTGTTTATAGGAACACTGTGACTAAAGGGTACATTTTTCCTAAGTTAGAATTTACACATCTTTTGTGTCTGTTTAACTACTACTACATGAAAAAAGATGTTTTGGGTAAATAGAGTAACCTTAAGTTACTCTATTTTAGCCATAGCATTGGTGTGTACTATTATGTCCTGTACCAGTTTTTTTATTTTATTTTCTTATACTTTTTAATTATTTTATCATAAATGTAATTTTTAATTGATGAATTTGTTTCGGAAGTTCTCCTCGGGAAACACATTATTACAACTCATCTATTCCACATTTTGGCTGGGGCATGTTGTTGTGCAGTGCTGAGTCATTCAGTTTGGCAATTTTGCAAGAGTTTTGTCTACAATGCAATCTTTTCTGTCATTTATGCAAAATGAGCAGTGGTATGGCTGTGGTGCTTTCTTTTAACTAATGCTGGGTACTATTCGACACCAACAATGGCATATTTGGACGCGGAATATAAGAAAATAAATAATTTTATATATATATATATATATATATATATATATATATATAAATATAACCAGAATATTGCTGATATCTTTCATATGAAATGTCTGTTTTTCTCATCAGAGATAATATTGTAGTTGATATTGTATATATTCTTCACTTAAGTTGCTGAGATGTTTAGTTCTACGTCGTAATGGGAGTTACAGTGTGCTTTATTATGATTTGCCCTTTCTTACAATTCTTTCACATTGAGTTTTATCCCTGTGTGTTTCTCATTTTGCTTATTTTACTGTTTGGGTTTTTTAAGTTTAAAAAAAAAAAAAAAAAAAAATTATTTGCTCAACAAATATTTTTTAACTGACTCTGTATAATATATGTACCAACATCTTCATGCCTTCTACATCTGTTTTTTTTAATATACACCTTTGCTTTTCATTTGTTTCTTCTTTCTCCACCCTCAGATGTTATATGGGTTATTCTCAGCGTTGAAGCCGGGGGCCTCTTGGGTGTCACTCAACAGCTCTCATCTTTCGAGACAGAGTTTAACACTCAACCTCATCGCAATCTGGGAGGAGACTACAATCCATTTGCTTCCCCTCAAAAGAGTCGATCACCTGATGGGGAGGACATGGGGAGCTGGGGGCCTGAGACAGAGCCCTCTGAAAGCGAGCAGAATGGACTATCTCAGACCTCTGTAAATATATGTTCAACAGATCACCCGGCCAGCCGTTCTGTAGCTACATATAGAGAGGTGAGGGTGAGGGTGTTGGAGCGTTATTATTGCCTGGAAAACTGGACACAATGTTAATCCATAGACTTGGTGTAGGGTTTTAGGATTTATACAGCGTTGCAGGGTTGATCATTTTTTATTTGTATATGTATGTTTATATACATGTGTGTGTAATTTTTATATATATTTGTAGTCGGGGCAATATGGCCGAACAGAGAAATCTTAATATAATATAATCATAACATCCATAAGTTAGCACCAGTGGGCTGTGGTGTGCCGGAACCGACAAAGCAGTAGGCCTGTAATAAAAGTGGGCCCACCTTAGAGGGTGTTATAAATAGAGGGAGTGGTGGGAGACTCGCCAGACCAGCAACGGTAAGGTGGGAGTGGATTGGGAGCCCTTTTAAAGGGGAACCAAGCCCCTCCCACAACTACAGGCCAAGCCTTCAAATTTGTAGTCGGGGCAATATGGCCGAACAGAGAAATCTTAGCATAATATAATCATAACATCCATAAGTTAGCACCAGTAGGTTGTGGTGTGCCGGAACCAACAAAGCAGTAGGCCTGTAATAAAAGTGGGCAAAAAGAAAATTACCCAGAAACATAATTCGTGAACCACCTTCGTTTATTGAGATAAGTCACAAAAAGCTTGTCTTAATTCTTTAACGGGGTTAGGTATGTAGAGTGTGTAGGTGGAGGATTTCCAGCGTCCCATAGCCTTAATAATATGAGTGGGTATGTGGTTAGCGGATGCTGAAGATGCCTGAAAATTGATTCGGGTTTAGGCCGAGCCTGGTCAACAGGAGTCATATGTATAGCATGAATTTAGCTGTGGTCAGAGTGTGTCCATGCAGTTCAAACAAAGGCTGTTGGGGTTGTTTTTGGACTGAAAGGGAATAAGTATCCAAAACTTTTACTGGCCACCATATATTGTGAGTAGGGTACAGAGGAATTTGAATAGTGTGTCCTTCGGTGCTGGTTTTTTATTGTCTTAGGGAGAGAATGTAATGGTCGGTATGTTTTTGTAAATCATTAGTTCTTAGGTAATTGTGTGTTGTGATGGTCCTGGTTGTAAATTCACTGGGACGTAGGAACCCCTAAAAAGCGAGATATAGGGCTGTTTTTATTATGTTATTGGTCATGGGTTCAAAAGGAGACGAATCTCATAAGTTGGATAGAGAGTGGATATGTTGTTATGGGCAGTCATTGTGAGGGAAATGTGTATCTAATTTTTTAATGCCTTTAAGTAATGTTTTTGTAGTGGATCGCCAGTATTAAATCCACGAATTCCGCTGGTTCAGGAAGTAATCCACAGTCAGCGCTGAAAAGCAAGGCAATATCCCAAATCTCCCAGTAACCGGACGAAACACAGTTCTGAGAGTCAACTGAGGTCTTTATTTTCAACTCCACAATTTATACAATTCCCCATGCAAGGGGTTTCCCGAGTCCCATCCCAGGGGCATTCCCAGAGTGGACTGCATGGGGAACTTCCATTACAGAGCCTTTCTCCCATCAGGCACTGCTGCATGAGAGGGATCCTCCCACAGGAATGTACCGTTAAGTGGGAGGATCCGTGCAGCAGAACCGACAATTTGTATTAAAATACATAACCTTTCGAATATGCAGTCTGTTTGCACAAATGGACGTTCGGTAGATAGCTGGGGTCTGAGCGCATCATTCGTGAGATTACCGCTCAGATCCCAGCTAAAACAACCGAACGCCGCACGAATAACACATTCATTAAAATGTATATTCAAAAGACCGATTGAAGTCTAGGGAACATAATACCGAACGGCCCGGAACTCCCAAACGGCCTGAAAGCTCAGCGGTGTTTGCGCCATCGAGTAGCCGTTTTTAGTACCATGTGCTCGACGACTGCTGAGGGAACAAAGGATCCAAGATGGCCGACCTCATGGTCTGCAGTCGAACGGCGGCCACCTAGGAGAGCCTCTAATTACCGATTGCAACATTGTTGCAATCGGTTAACAAGCGCCACACGTCTCTAAGTGTGTGGGCTACTACATGGTGGTTATTTCGATTCACGAACGGCCCGCAAAAGTGCCGTTCGTGAAACGAAAGGAAATACAGCTATCTGCATTCGGCAGATAGCCAATACAGTAAATACACGTTATTACAGCCGGCATACATTACACTTAGTTAAACACTTATCCCCACAGACATACAGGCAACTCTTAAAGGCACAGTCTCTTTATATTGTCCAAGTGGCTAGGTTTGCCACAGTTTTTATTTGATATGATGTCAAGAAACCCGTAGTGTTAGGTTGTTGGATAAGCATATGGTGCTGGATGCCTGTTAGGTATAGTTTAATGGTATTAAAGGATAGTTTAAGGTTGATATGGCAAACTAAGTAAAACTTAGTTTGCCACATCAACTTAAAATTGTTTCTAACGCAAACATGTCGTGGATGTTAAACTCGGTGATAAATTTCGTGAATACGTGAAAAAGCCCTATCATTAGTGTTTAGTGAGAGTGCCAAATGAGAAATGTGACGTGCGTGGTCTAACAAAGTCTTTAATCCATTATCATGTCTTGGAATAGAGGTGCAGGTGTCTCTCGTCTGCAAGCGTTGGGTAGTGTCGAGAGGAAAACGAAACAGAGACAAGTGATCAGCAGAGGTGTTTGTGTGCCCCGGAATGTGTATGCATGTTATAAAGAATTGACAAGTGGCCGCTACCCATGTGAGACGCCTTAGTAGTCTCATAATGACCAGTGATGCCGATCGGCCTTTATTGACAATATGGCATGTAGCCATATTATCTGAGTAGCACCTGACCGTGTGGCCAGACCAATATGGTCCCCAAGCAATGGCTGCCGCCACAATCGGGTACAACTCGAATAAAGCCAAGGTATCAGAGAATTTGGGTAGTGATTTGACTTCGGTCGGCCAAGGTCCCCAAAGCCATTGATCACTCCAGATGTCCGCAAAGCCTGTGCTAGCTGCGGCATCTGTCCACAGTGTAGGTGAAGTTTCGGAGGGGGGTGGTATAAACATGGTTCGCCCGTTCCAAGAGGTGAGAAAAAAAAAACCACACGCGTAAATCCGAGGTTGCGTGTACATCTAATGTGATACATGAAGTGTCTGAGGTGAATAGTGGAAACAAGGATAGCAGGTGGGATATAAATGATCTACCTTTGGGTATGATCCTCATGGCAAAATTGAGCGACCCAAGCAGTGATTGAAGTTCTTTGCGATTGCAATGACCTTGTAGCAGGTAATGTTCAATACTTGCCAGGGTACGCTCAATCTTGTCCTGAGGTAGACTAGCCTGCATGTGTATCGTGTCTAGTTGGATCCCCAAAAATTGCATGTTGGTATCTGGACCCAAAGTTTTGTGAGGGGAGACAGGAATATTGAGGGAGTCAAACAAAGCCAACATGTGATTCAAACTACTGGGTGGGAGTGTGTTATTCTCAATCGTGAGGAAATCGTCCAGATAGTGGACTTGCACACATTTCGTAACAACCAACATAAAGCTTCTCAAACGTGTCAAAAATACGTGGGCTGCTTTTGGAGCCAAAAGTTAGTCGGGTGAAGAAATAATACATCCCCTGCCATTTAATTCCGTGTCGATGCCATAGGGAAGGATGCATGGGTAGTAATTTAAAAGCGTTTACCACGTCGGTTTTACTAAGCCATGCTCCTGTGCCAGCTTGAAGAATGGCCCGCTATGGCCTGGTCGATAGTGGCATAGTGGAGTGAAAATTCTTCGGAAGGTATTAGAGAGTTAAGGCTGGGGACAGTGGAGGTATGTGGTGCAGATAAATCAATTATCAGTCTGGGTTTGAGTGAGGTCTTCCCTGTGACCACCCCTATGGGATTGGTTCTCCAAGATGTGAAGGGTGGGGAAAAGAATGACCCCAACAGAAACCCTTGTTTCACCTCGGTCGAGATAAGAGTGTTTACCAACTGTGGATCGTCTAACGTGGATTGTAGGTTGTCGCATTCCAGTGTACCGGGGGGTAAATGGACCAACCCGGTGTGAAACCCTTCAGTCATTCCCGTAATAATATAGTCCGTGAAATGACGTGATGGGTGTAGTTGTAATAGCGAGCTCAATAATGTGATGTTCACACACGTGTGATACGGTTTGTGGAATGCTTTATTCGGGCAGTTTTAGCATGGGCCCTGAAACAGTGGGAACATACATGCATCAGCCTACAAGAGCTGAAACCACAATTCCCTGCATTAAAGTTATTGCAGACCTGGGATTTACCTGGAAATACAATATCCCTACCCAATTTGTCTTTTAATCCCCTAGCAGATTTTGGAAAGTTAGAGGTAGTTTGGTTTTGTTCGATTTCTGCTGTGTTTGGGCAGAAATTTGTGTGATGTGCTGTAGATGCACAAACTGCACAAGCTGGAGGTCTGAGGCCTGCAAAATACCTGCAGAATAACTCAGTGTCCAATTTTCTCCAATTAATGCTTAAATTGAACTGAGCCAGAGCTGCAGCCACCTTTGCAGAAAAGGAACGGTGGTAATCGTAAAAAGTGGTACCACCGTATTTGTGCCCCAGGTCCACCATTTTGTGCATGTATGCATCCAGCTCTGCTCTTTCCCCCGGGTATACTGAGCAGTAAACATCCCTATAGATCCCAAAACCTAGTACAAATTCAGATATGGTCAATTTTTTGTTCAGCCTCGGATCGCTTGCCCTTAGTACGACTGATATATCCCCATATGCAAATGTCCTGTTCTCTAGGACATCCTGGGAGGCTATAAGCAATGAAACCAGGTTTACATCCTTGCCTTCCAGAATGTCCTTTTTAAGGTGAGATGGGACCATGTGCGAAGGATTAATGTCTTCAATTATTGATATGGATTCCAATGAATTACCAGGTATGTCAACGAGAGGGTGACTGGCAACAATTGGGTTTGTAGCGGTCTGTTTAGCGCCACTTGCTTCCAATTTATCCAGCCTATCGCTAATTGTGCTGATGGATGACATAAGAGAAGTCATCATGGCGTGAAACGCCGGCAATTGTGTGCCACTAGGGCCTTCCCCTGCATCAGAGTTGTCAGTGGTAGTGTTTAAAAGTCTAAACAACTCTGCCTTCCTAGCAGTAGCTGGGAAAGGGATGCAGCGTCTTCTAAGTTCTGCAGTGAGACGTGGGATGGTCCATGATCTGAGTAATGAAGGACTAGTAACGTCTGTTCCAGGAACAGGGGTATCAGGCCTAGCGGGCGTGCAGGGTAGAGAGAGTTCCTCAGGCATATCAGGTGTATTTGACATAACTGAAAAATATAAGGTAGTGTAATCAGTCACTCTGTAATGAATGGGTGGGTACTGGTAAGGCTAGCTAAATACCAAGCGGTGAAACAATTACACTTCATGATAGTGACAGATGAGTCCCTACTAATTGCCAAGCGGCTTGAGAGGCACTACCTATGCGTGGGCCCGAGGGGGAAAGTATGAGGCCACCGAACGTTATGGAGGGGTGTTGGCCTCTCGGTGGCAGTTTAAAGCATAAGATAGAATGGGAGTGATAAGTGAGGCCCTCTCTATGCAACCATGCGAGACGGCTAGCTGATTTGGCCCGAGGGACGTATTCCTCCGAGTATGAGGATGGGGGGTGTTGGTCTCGCTGGACCACTAGCCTACGGATTAAGACCAGAATTTTTTTTTTTTTTACCTAATTGGGTCACGTAACCTAGGACCAGTACCAATCAGAACATGGAAAATAATCGGTTCTGGCTTAGTACCGGATATGTGAGTCAGGCTGAGCTGTCAAAGTAGAGGTAACCAGCGACTGTAAGAGTATCGAGGTGTTTACCTGTGGACATGAGATTTGATATATAAACATCTGACTGTAATGTAGTGGTTTGGCCAGATCGTGGGCCCTAAAACAAGAACCTACCCGACACTCTGCAGAGGGTAGATTTAACCAAAAAAAAGATGACTGCTTCCGTGCTTGTAAAAGCTACTGTCCAACGTATAATAACCTAAAAGAGTAAATTACACACTTAACTAATTTTAATATGTATCATTGGCCTTCAAAATTTTAAATTATAATTAAATTCCAACCAACCTAGAAGTAAATATAATTGATACAAGTGTCAGAAATCACAATTCCTAGTACGAACCCCTGGTATGAATCTGTGGGAAAAGTCAGGAAAATCAGGACACATCATCCAGGTTTAAACATTTCTATTTACTTTAGTAGAATTTATATAAGTGACTGTAATAACGTTTGTAACCAGTAGGAGCAAAAATCCACATGGAGTACCGGCTGAATTCGTGCTTATTCGTGAGTTTGTGTAATTACTGAAAGAACTAGGTAGGGTATTGAAACATACGAATAAATGCATCCTAAGTGGCATTCGAAAACCGAACAGAATGATGTTATATGTATATAACCAAATGATAGCGTTCGTTAGCTTAGAAAAAGTGAAACATGCGAGTAGATGAGGGAATTAGTCGAATGGCATAATGCATGAACAGAAAAGAACCGAACGCTGGTTTGAAACGAACGGGGCTCCGCCATGTAAAGCAAGGGAATTTGCGGCGGTTGCTTTACGGCGGGCCTGACTTACGTTTTTTGCGGCGGCAAAGTAGCAAGTGGGCTGTGCGGACGCCGGTAACGGGAAGTAGAGCCAGGGAAGCACCGGACCAGGAGACCACAAGGAAACAGGTAAGGAAAATCCAAGATGGCGATCTGAACCAGAAGTAAAACGTTTCAGACTCGCCAGACCAGCAACGGTAATGTGGGAGTGGATTGGCAGCCCTTTTAAAGGGGAACCAAGCCCCTCCCACAACTACAGGCCAAGCCTTCAAATATATATATCTCTATCACTTTTTGGGTTGTTTTTTTTTATTTTTATTATTATTATTATAATAAAAGAACAGATGAACATGACATCACAACTTTGCTGGAATAATCAGTTTCAAGGCTGCCCCCATTTTGCTTTGACCAATACTTCTGAACGGAAGCAAACACAATCTTTGGGGCCTGTTTACTAAAATAGTAGAGAGACATAGAAAATTTCCACCAATACAACATGATTGTATTAAAAATAAATAAAAGAACAGAGCAAGGATACAGGTTGTGCCAAAATATAGAACACCAAATGGTAACCCTCTAAAAATTGGTAAAAATGCACCAAGAAATATACACTACAAAATAAAAAATACCAGATCGTTAAACACAGTCCTGAAGTGACAATCCTTCAAATTTTCTTATGTTCTTGGGACAGCTTCACTTTGTGGCAGCGTATGAAAAACATATGGGCAACCTTGTAGGGGGTTTGAAGAAGAGTGAGTTGTCAAAATGTTAAACTTTTAGATTTAAAAGTGAATGTTATTAGTTGATTTAGTAAGGATAATTTTCGAATATTTGAGGGAGAGGACACCAGATTATAGAAGGTCAAAGATTGGTCCAATTTAGTGAAAATGTTTAGTTCTCTTACATTATTTTTAGAGGGAAAAGAGTTTCCACACTTACAGTCAAGGTGGAATACCGCTTAGAGTGCAGGCATATTTACACATAGTACTGGGCATTTTGAAATTTCAAAAATCAAACGAAGTACCCTACATTAACTTATGCAGCTTTGAAATATTAAGCGGAGTGTATATACTTGTGCTTCTAACTTAATAAACAACTTTTTGACACATTGCTAGGATATCCCATTTATAGTCAGCTGCAGACTCAAATGAGCTACAAGTAATAGAATATTGTTTTTCTATGAGTGCTGAATGTGTAATGCTGTACATATGGCAATTAATTGCTCATTTTATAGTATTTGTCAATGAAAACACCTCCACTATTTTCTGTACTATCCACAACACAATGTCGGCAGATGTGAGGCACAGAATCAGTGATGGGAATTTTGGCATATGCTGTTATTTTAATTATTATTATTATATTTTTTTAAATCATGTGTTTTACTGGAGGATATACTATAGGTTCATACTATTAAATAAGCTCAACCAGGCAGAACCTGCATAATGCTGGTTAGCTAAAAATGTTCTCTTTTCACTGGAGCTGCCCAACTCTGCCTGTTCCTTACTTCATGCTGCTGACCTTATTTATGCAGTGGATGGATAGAGCAAGGTCTGTCAAAGATGACCACAAGATGCTTGCAATAATTCTTTGCATCACCTCTAACCAATTCTGGTCAGTGGTTAAGCCTCAGCTGCTACATGTGCATAGAAACATAGAATGTGACGGCAGATAAGAACCATTCGGCCCATCTAGTCTGCCCAATTTTCTAAATACTTTCATTAGTCCCTAGTCCTATCTTATAGGTAGGATAGCCTTATGCCTATCCCACGCATGCTTAAACTCCTTTACTGTGTTAACCTCTACCACTTCAGCTGGAAGGCTATTCCATGCATCCACTACCCTCTCAGTAAAGTAATACTTCCTGATATTATTTTAAACCTTTGTCCCTCTAATTTAAGACTATGTCCTCTTGTTGTGGTAGTTTTTCTTCTTTTAAATATAGTCTCCTCCTTTACTGTGTTGATTCCCTTTATATATTTAAATGTTTCTATCATATCCCCCCTGTCTCGTCTTTCCTCCAAGCTATACATGTTAAGATCCTTTAACCTTTCCTGGTAAGTTTTATCCCGCAATCCATGAACCAGTTTAGTAGCCCTTCTCTGAACCCTCTCTAAGGTATCAATATCCTTCTGAAGATACGGTCTCCAGTACTGTGTACAATACTCCAAGTGAGGTCTCACCAGTGTTCTGTACAATGGCATGAGCACTTCCCTCTTTCTACTGCTAATACCTCTCCCTATACAACCAAGCATTCTGCTAGCATTTCCTGCTGCTCTATTACATTGTCTGCCTACCTTTAAGTCATCAGAAATAATCACCCCTAAATCCCTTTCCTCATATGTTGAGGTTAGGACTCTATCAAATATTCTGTACTCTGCCCTTGGGTTTTTACGTCCAAGATGCATTATCTTGCACTTATCCACATTAAATGTCAGTTGCCACAATTCTGACCATTTTTCTAGTTTACCTAAATCATTTGTCATTTGGCTTAACCCTCCTGGAACATCAACCCTGTTACATATCTTAGTATCATCAGCACCTTAAGGGTTAAACGCAACTGCTTGCTTAGATGCTTAGGTGAGCCAGTTTAAAAAAAAATGTATTGGATTTTACAACTTACAACTTTGTAGATGCATGCTTTTACAAACACTCATTTATCTTCTTAATATATGTAAAACGTGTCTGACTCAATATTTTTGTTCAGTATTTACAGTCAGTTAGTCCTTTATCCTCGTCTACATACCTTCCTTCTTTTGTTTTTAATTTAACTAATCCTTGTTTTACTTTCCTTTTCTTTTCTCATTTATGTATCTAAAAAATGTTTTGTCCTCCTTTTTTTTTTTAACTGACTGGGCTATTTTCTTTTCTGGGTTATTTTCTCTTCGGTGTGTGATTTGGAAGCTCTTATAACTTGCTTAGCCTCTTTCTAACTAATCTAGGTAGATCTTACTCACCCACACATTTTTTTTTTTTTATAATTACTAAATGGTAACTTTTTGTCTTTTACTATTTTGGCCACTTCTGAGGAGTACCACACTAGTTTTGCTCTTACTGACTAGCCTAATGCAATTTTATGTTGCCTTCAGTAGTGCAACTTTTAAATAATCCCATTTCTCTTGGACTCCATTTAAACAACTCTAATCTGATAATGACTCCTTTACACATTTTCTAATTTTAGAAAAGTCTGTTTTTCTAAAATATAAAACCTTTGTTTTAGTGTGGTGCGACTCAGTCAATGTTCTTATATTAAACCACATTTACTGATGATCAATGGATCCTAAACTTTCCCCTACAGTAATATGATACCAAGTCTCCATTGTTAACACTACATTTAGTATGGCCTCCTTACGAGTTTGTTCCTCAACGACTTGTTTTAGAGACAATCCCAGTAGGGAGTTTAGAATATGTGTGCTCCTGGCACAAGCAGCTATTTTGGTTTTCCAGTTCACATCAGGAAAATGAAAGTCACCCATGATGAAAGCCAAAAAGAAAAATGAAGAGAAGTTATTTCCTATTTTTACTAGTAGATTATCTAACTCTTCTATTTGTCCTCGGGGTCTATAAATCACACTTACACGAGTTACTGTGTGATTACCAAATTCTAACGTAACCCAAACTGACTCTATGTGATATAATTTGAGAGAACTGCCTGATAGCCCAAGCAGAAAGTCCAGAAAATGTAATCTGCAAACCCTATATTTGACCCTGTAACTTTCCAAAACACTGTAAAACCTGTACATGGCGGTACTGTTTTACTCGTGAGACTTCTCTGAACACAAACATTAGTGTCTCAAAACAGTAAAATTTACAATAATAATGATCAGTGCAAGTGCTTTTTTTTGTGAAAAATACAAACACTAACTTTGGCCAGGGTTTGTGTTTTAAGTGGCTACTAAATAAGACTGGAGATACCCAATTTTAATATCCTTGGTTTTGTACTTTTGCAAATGATATGCCATGATGGGGGTAATTCTCATTTCTGGGCTGCCATTTTGTCTCAAAGGTAACATAGTCCCAGCAAGCCAATCTGGCAAACTGAAATGAGCAAGCCCTATATTTTACCCTGTAACTTTCTAAAGCCCCATAAAACCTGTACATGGGTGGTACTGTTGTACTCATGCGATAGCACTTAACACAAATATGAGTTTTAGAGCAGTAAAACATATGAGACAATACTCTCGTCAGTGAAAGGGCAGGTATTTTTATTATTTTATTTTTTTTACATGGGGATATTGTTTTACTTGCGAGACTTGAACACAAACATTATTGTCTCAAAACAGCAACACTTAGAATGACAATTCTCTAATCAGTGAAAGTGAATTTTTTTTTTTTTGTGGGGAAACAAAAATATGAACCCTAAATTTGGCCAGCGTTTGTGACTAAGTGACTACTAAAAAAGACTCCAGTTTGAATACACTGGGTTGTCTGCTTTTGCAAATGTTATGCCATGATGGGGTAATTTTCATTTCTGGGCTGCCATATGGTCTCAAAGGCAACATAACCAATCAGGCAAATTTCAGTGTTTAAAAACTAAAATGGGCAAGCCCTATAATCTGACTTTGTATGTTCCCAAAACCCCATAAAACCTGTACTTGGGGGGTATTGTTGTACTCATGAGACATTGCTGAACACAAATATGTGTATTTTATTGCAGTAAAAGCTAACCGTATTATGACATTTACAGTTAAAATGCCATGCAGAACATTTTATTCACATTACATTTTTCCCCATATTAATATTTGATGTGAAATTAAAGCCTTGTTTCTCCTAAGCAAAATTATATATAATAAGGGTTGGTGTACTTGAGGTAACTTATGGTTGAACATATATATAGTCAAATTCCCGGTTTTGTTTTGATCAGAATTCGTACAAGTGCCTCTGATGTGAAGGAGTAGGAAACTTTTTCCCATGTTTTATGTAACGTTTTTATTTTTTTTACCCCTAGTCGAGTTCCTTTTGAACTTGTGTAGTTTCTCCATGGATTGTAAAGTGACTGTCACTTTTCAGTCATTTGCATAGACACATCTGTTTACTCTTTTTTACTGGTGCCTGGGGGAGAATGCATATTTAACTGAACCTCTCAATACCATCATCCAATTCTTTCTTTATATCCAGGTGTCTTTACCTGTTGTGAGCTACTGTCCGCATTCTACTCTTGATTATGAGTGCAATACAAAGTTGTAAGAGGTCTGGATCTTCCGTAGACAGGATGTTTTGTGGAAACTCCACCCCATTGCCACGTTTTTAGAAAAATCCGTTCCTAACAGACCAACTAGACCCTGCTTTGTTTCATATATATCTTTTGACTCGATACAGTAATTGTGTGGTTTTAATAAACAGTCTATCTCTATTAAAACTCACACATGACAGTACCATATTAACACTGCTGGCACCTTAACCACTACAGTGGGTTGTAGTGTTTGTCTTTTCCTTTACTAAACATATTTGTAAAACAGATATGTTTCTCTTGTGTTACTTTTTAGTAAGAATTATAAGTGGAAATCTAGACCTCTTGAGATGCTGGTTTCAGGTTATAAAGCTCATCAAGTGGTGATGAATCTGAATATTTTTTTTGTACACCATTCTTTGTGGCATCCACCTTGTTGCATCTAACTAATGATAGTGCACCTGGGACACATGGAAAAATATAATTTTACTCCTGTAATGTCCTTTAAATTAGTATTATATGTGTATAATTAGTGTGTGTGTATATATATATATATATGTGTGTGTGTGTGTGTGTGTATATATATATATGTATATATATATATATATGTGTGTATATATATATATATGTGTGTATATATATATATATATGTGTGTATATATATATATATGTGTGTGTGTATATATATATATGTGTGTGTATATGTATATATATATATATATATATATATGTGTGTG